GGTCTTTCCTCTCCCAGTCTTGGCAGTAAAAGGGGATAAATGTACATTTCCCTTTTGTAACCTCCATCTTCTCATTTCTGATGCTGGCTCTTGAATATCCTCAGGTTAGAAATGCCGATTACAAACGCAAGCATGAGATTTTAAAGATAAGTTTTCCCCGTAATGCCATGATCCACTGCTGTCACCTCCTCATCTAAAGGAAAAAGGAGAAAAACTAACTACTTGATCATATCTGCTGCTTAGTGGACACGACACACAACAGAATTCACGTTTTATACCAGTAGATCACAGATGCTTTAACTTTTGTGACTTTTTCATGGACTAATAATAGYAGCTAACGCTAAAAACATAGGCAGTAAGCAGGAAGTGGAAGGGAGGAGCGTGGCAAAGATTTTACCGGTCATAATCATGTCTTGTGATTATTTGACAGGAGGCTTACTTTTAAAATGTAAGTGTATTTAATTTAGTTATAATATAAATACAATAAAAATTAAACCAAGATTTACAATAATTATCATTTTGATCCATTCATTGGTAATGCCTGATTGGGCCTTGTGCCACTTTATGTTCAATGAATTGGGCCCCGAGGTCAAAAAGGTTAAGAACCCCTGAATAATGTAGTCATTGGTATGCTTGTTGGCAGTTTACTACCAGTGTWTATTGGGGAAGTCATGTGGACCTGGTGGGAAGTGTCTGAGCCTCTCCCAGTGGTGTGATGGGGTCCAAGACTGCTCAGATGGAGAGGATGAATCCCACTGCTGTAAGTCCTTCCTTCAGATCTTCCTCCCACTCACACATCCAGTAATATTTTAACAGATTAGTGTAGATTTGTCTGATTGTTTTCTGTCTGCTGTTTTTGTGCACCACAGTTCGTCTCCAAGGGACCAACTTCCTGTTAGAAAGTTACTGTTCAGAAAACCAGCTGTGGATACCTGTGTGTGCAGAGAACTGGGACGACAGCTACGGGAGAGCTGTGTGTGAYCAGATGGGCTACAGACGGTGCTGATTTTACTTAATGTTTATTGTCTCACCATTTTTTTATATTACCACCTTGTTGTAGTTTAGAAGCTGAAATTTATTTTACAACTGGACCAGCTAGATGGCAACAACAGTCCTAGTATCATGTCTGGACTATARAGGAACCACACAGTAGAAAACCCGAGGAGTATAATAAAACATCTGCAACACAGATCATGATACCTAGCAGTAACTCTAAAGTATTTBGATCCAAAAAACAACAAATGACCATTGCAAAAACTGAGTTTAGTGTAAAGAAAATAAGGTTTCATATTTGGCTCTACTACTAGAGGGTCAGGTTTTAATTGGGTTCAGGGCTTCATGAGTTAAAAAGTGTAGTTCTCTTTCAAAGCATTCGTTTCGTGTCTCACCATGGGGAACGCCTCCTGTGTGCAAGTAGGGGTCTCTGCGGACGACTGCGGATGAGTGGGCGTGTCACAACGGAAGGCGATTCTACAGCAACACACCTGATTTGACAGACTTTGTTAAAGGGACACACC